ATTGTTTTTTGTTCTGTCTTCAGGTGCTTTGTATCATAGATTGAACCAGTGGTGGGATTCTTTTTTTTTTTTTTTACTACCGGTTCTGTGGGCATGGCTTGGTGGGCATGGCAGGGGAAGGATACTGTAAAATCTCCAGTTCCTCCCCACTCCAGGGGAAAATTACTGCAAAATCCTCATTTCCTCCTGATCAGCTGGGACTTGGGAGGCCGAAAATAGATGGAATAGATGGGGCCTATCAGAGGTGGTGTTTACCTGTTCTCTGAACTACTCAAAATTTCCGCAACCGGTTTTCCAGAACTGATCAGAACCTGCTGAATACCACCTCTGGATTGAACCCCTCTTCTTTGTGCCAGTCCCTTACAGATGTTGCAACCATCATAAGTCTGAGCAGAGTGACGTAGCAGGAAACAACGTGCATATGCATGGCTTGAGCATGGAACAGGGCAATGGTGCGATGCATTCAAGAAGTAGCATGGCTCCAGTAATTTTCACTGCAAGAAGCCTGAGCAGCCACTGTCTCTTTTTTGGCGCAAGAAGCATCCAGCCGCACCGAAAAAAAAGAGGAGGCAGTTGCAAACATCTCATAACAAGGTACTGTATGCCGTAAAATTGTCTTAGCACAGATTTAAGTTGATTGTGACATCTCTGCTTTACCTTCTTCCAAGAAAATGAAAGCAGCTTTTATTTTCACCTATTACCATTTTAATTCTCACAATTATTCAAAATAAGTTAGGCTAAATATAGTAGAACAGTTTGAACTCACATTAAGCTATTGATTGTTTTTATAACATAATAGCTAAGTTCATCTAAGCCAGAATGGCTGAGTTCACACAACATGCTAAGCTAAAGCAAGCCCCATTATACTTCAATGTGATGCTAGATAAGTTGGAATTGTAATGCTATCTCCTTGGTCTTAGTCTGACCACAGCACCCACTAATTTAGGAGGGAGGAGCATCAATGTTCATCTGCTCCTTGGTACAAGAGGAAATTCACTTTTTTATTCGTGAACCCAGCCTAAATCGGGCCCTCTTGAGCTGCCTATTTTTAAAAATGCCAGTGCACTTTATGAAGTGAGATTCAGTCTCAAAAATTACTTTAAAGAAACAGTATTTCTGCTAAAATCAATCTGCCCAATAAAGAGACTTGCTTATAAATGTATTTTATTTCTTCTCTATGCAGTTTCAATGTCTTTTGTGAAAAAAACAAGCAGCAAAATTCCAGCAAAGAAGTTTGATCTTTGGTTAATATTGCAAAACCTCATGAGCAACCTGGTTTTCAAATTCACAGCTGCTGGACACCATCTTCGTGTTGGAGGAGATGAATTCAATGATGTCATAAGCCCTAAAAGAACCTTCTTATAAAGTAAACATAGAATTTTTCTTTGGGGTAAATATGAACATATTTTCAAAACCTGTTGTTTCCAAATAGGGAACTATTATATGCGGCTCTCATGGAAGAGTAATCACTTTCATTAAATATTTTGTTTTATATGTGCCTGGCCTATCTCCTTTCTCTTTACAAATTTGCAGCACATTTTTTTCCAAGTATTGTCAACTTACATGGAATCAACCAGAAGCCATTCATTTCATTCATTGGAACAGGATCAGAATGGAATTTTAAAAACATTTTCAAAGAAATATGTTCCTTACTTCAAAGGTATATATGAGTAAAGGCATTCCTACAAGAAATGTAGGAATTAACTTCACTTCCTATGGATTCAGAAGAACAAGCACATGTGTATCATCTTTATTCTCATAATAATGTTGTGGTGTGAATTAGAAGGGTATGCATATAAATCCCTAAAGGTGGGTTTGTGGTATCCTTCTCTGCTACAGGAATAAATTAACAAGAGGAGATTATGCTGGGTGGCTAGTCTCTACCAGGGAGGAAGATGTGGTTCAAGTCCAGTGTAACAACTAGGCAGTCTACACTCCACAGGGGCAAGTGGGTGGCAGTGGTACTTTTAGGGGAAAGCATTTCTGA